ACTCAATGGACAAGAGTTTGAGTAAACTCCAGGAGTTGGTGATGGACAGGGAGGCCTGGCATGCTGCGATTCATGGGGTCACAAAGAGTCAGGCATGAATGAACAACTGAACTGACTGAAATTTCAGTTATTTGCCTGCTGTTGTTTTGAAGTTGAGTTGTAGTAGTTTCTTTGACATTCTGGATGTAAGCCCCTTATTCAGATACACATTTTGAAGATACTTCCTCTCATTCTATAGTTGCTTGTTGTTGATTGTTGAGACTCTCCTTTCTTCACTTTTTAAATTTAGAACCTTGGCAAAGATCATTTGGCCACACGTGTGTCAATTTACTTGCAATTCCCTTTTTATGGTTCCCTGGTCTCTTCCTTCCTATTTTGTTGCTGGTACAACACTGTTTTGACTGTTGTGGCATTCTAATGTGGATTGAATTCAGGAAGCATTAAGGCCCCATTGTTCTTTGCTCTCAAGACTTTTTCTCTTTGAGTTTCTTTTAGGTTCCATAAGTATTAGTATTCTGGGTTTGTTTTTTTTTTCCCCCATTTGTATAAAGTTGAAATGAGATTTTGTGAGTGGTTTCAATATATATGTACATCACTTTTAGTTGTATAAGGTCAACAGCACTAAATATTCCAGTCTGTGAATATGCTATGCCATTCCATTTACTTGTGTCTTCTTTCTCTCAACAGTGTACAATGGTTTTCAGTGCCCAAATCTTGCACTTCCTAATGAGCCTCTTGCACTACCTTGTTTGAGTCATCTGAGTCAGGGACGGGAAAGACAGGCTCATGAAGAGAGGGAATGTCCTCTCTCCCCTCTGTGCCTACCCTCTGGTTACTTGTAGTACAGGTGTGCAGGGCCATGCCTTCACCTCTGCCTACAAGTGAGCCCCCTCTGGGAATTTTCTTTAAATCTGAGTGTTCACTTTACTATTGAAATGTCCACAAGCACTCTCCCAATGCCTGGCCTGTGTCCAAGAGCCCCAGGTATACCTACATATGACTGAGCATATGAGACCATCAAATCTTCTGCAATAAAGAAAAACCTGAACAGCAGCTCAGCGTCTTTTCCTTATCATTGGAGCTCTTAGAGCTGAATGTTCCAGTGGAGTAGCCACTACTCAGATCAGCCTATTTATAATGAATATACTTCAAACAATAATTAATGTGTTATATTTTTAAAAAGCCCCACAAAAACCACAGAATTACTTGGTCACACTAGTGATATTTCAGGTGTGTCCATAAATGTTGGAATTTCAGTTTCATAAGCTTGAATGTAAGAGCTATATTGAGCATGTGGAAAAGTAAGGTTGGGATTCTCTCAGGATCTCTATGTCATGTGAAATTTTGCAACTGTGATCAACATCTTGTTGAAAGGCTCTGACTCCGCCAAGCACAGGGAAGGTCTGTGAACCTGGAGGGAAGACCAGGGAGATGCTTTGTGAGCCAAGAGGAGGAGGAAAGATGGAAGGGTCAACTTGTATAATAACTGTATTATTGCTCATGGTTGTCTTTCTACAGAAATGTATGCTAGAGAGTCTTAGCAGCAGTGATGTAGAAGAGAATTAGATAGGACACAGGTCTCAGGGAGAGTAGGATTTAGAGGGAGAGGGTTCCTGAACCACTCAGGTTATACCTGCTTCTTTGGAGATAAAACAGGTGAATATGAACTGAGGATTTAAATTGGAGGGAGAGAGTTTCTGGACCACTTGGGAGATAAAAGAAGGTGAATATAAACTGAAGAAGAAGGGAGTATGTGTAAGCTTGTGATTTGTTCCTCGTATTTTAATGAAATAATAAACTGTGTGTGCATGTGCTTTGTTGTGCTGCGCCTGTAGTCGTCTCTTGTTGTAGACATCTCTTCTTGCTTTTACGTTTAGAAATGTCCTTTCTCACAAGACTCCTCTTTCTTTGTCCTTTCATTGAGAAACATGAGAGAATGGCTTATGGTTAGTGCCTTCAGAGTCTTACATACAAGGGACTTCGGGCCTGTTTAAATTCTCCTATGATGGCAACATCCTAATGGGACCAAAAGCCTAATAGTTACTTGACACTGCAGGCCAAGCTCTTGCAGTGAGTGTCAGGTTCTGGGTGAGATATGAACTCGCTACCTCTGCGTTTTCAGGACTCGTAGATTGCCCTCACGTTTGTCTTCATTGTTTATTGCTCATGTAAAGGGTGTTCTCGGGGTTGGATAAGTCAACGCACACAGGCTCTGGCATCCCAGACTGGACTGAGTCTCCTGGAGCTCATCTCAGCTTCCAGCCCAAGGATGCTGTGCTGAAGGCGCCTTCACGTGGGAGCGGTCCATGCCCCGTTGCCCCTGGAGACCAGCAAGCCCCCAGACGCTTGACAATGTGAGGGAGCCGCTGGCTTTCCTAACACACTGGCTCTCACAGCCCTGCTGACCTGGCCTCCTGGGCCTGACCAGACCCAGGTCAGAGACTCAGAGCAGTGGGACCCAGGATCACTGTTCCACGTAGAACCCAATGCTCCCATCTAGACAGCCCTGCCCCTGCTCTGCACACCCCAGTCCTGCCCACCCTGTTACCTTTACTCAAACTTTCCCAGGTTTGATTCCTCCCAGTCTTTCCAAGATTGGGGTAAACCCTGGCTGGGGCTGTGTGTATATGAGGCTTCCCTATCTGTAAAACCTTTGTGGCATCACTTCAGACTAAGACACTTTGGACATGTTACTTTAATTATAATATTGTGTTCATCCTCCCTAAGGGGCTAAGAGACTTAAGCAGTTATTTTGAGCACCAAGTTTCTCCCAGTTATCTAAAGTTAGCTCAGGCACAGAATACTTGTTACCTGAAGTTGGTTGTGTATCTAGGCTGTTGTGGAAAGTGATGCAGTGAATTTAGGACTGCAGATATCTCTTTGTGATACTGATTTAATTTCCTTTGTATATATATCCAGAACTGTGTTTGCTGAATCGTATGCTACTCCTTTCATACATTTATAAGGAAACTTTTACTGTTTTCCACAACATAGCCACACAATTTACATTCCCACCAGCAGTGTACAAAGGTTCTAGCTCCCCACATCATGGCCTTAACCTGTTAATTCTTTGCCTTTATAATATACAAACTAACAGGCATGAGGTGTTGATTTACTTTGCCCTGATGATTAGTGAGGTTGAAAACCTTTTCCTTTGTATGCTAGTCATTTGTCTGTCTTGTTCCCGAAATGTCTGTTTAAATCTTTGCACATTCCTCAACTCCCTTATTTACTCTTTTTAATATTTTTTTGTTTTGCATTTGAGCTGTGGTATTTTCTTATGAATTTTGAGGATGAGCTCCTTATCTGATACATGGCTTGTAATTTTTCTGTAGGTTATCTTTTCATCGTACTGATTTATTGAAGAGACTACCCTTTTCCTATTCCATTGTCTTAGAACCTTGATGAATTTCATTTGACCATGTATCCGTGACTTTTCTTGGAGCTCTGTATTCTGGTCTTTAGGGCTATGTATCTATTTCTATGTCAGTATCATACAGGTTTGATTCCTATATCTTTGTAATGTGTTTTGAAATCAGGAGGTGAGATATTTTGATCTTTGTTTTCAAGGTTATTTTGTCTATGTGGAGTCCTTAGCAGTTCCATATATATCTTTGGATTTGTTTTTCCCATTTCTATGAAAATGATGTTAATACTTTGATTGGTGTTGCAATGAATTTTTACTTAGCTTTGGGTACTATAAAAATGTCAACAGTACCAAGTCTCCAGTCTATGAGCATGATCTGTCAGTTCAATTCCTCGTGGCTTAGTTCATTCTCTCAGTGGGGTGTGTAGTGTTCAGTGTGCTGGTCGTTTCTCTCTGAAGACCCTGTGTCCCTCCCTCCCTGATCTCAGAGTCAGTGGTGGAGGTATGGGCTGGTGAGGAGATGCAGTGTCCCTCCCTCCGTCCTCACCTCTTCTCTGATGATGTTCAGCACAATTGCCCTGGGCCCTGTGTCCACACCTGTCCCCTCAAGTGGAACACCTGCTGGGAAATCCTCTAAGATCTAGGTATTGGCATTGCTGTTTCAGTGTCCCAAAGGCTCCTGAGTACGTGGGTTGTATTCACAAGCGCAGGAAATACCTACAAAAATGAATCATCAAATCAGGCCAGCCAAATACTCTGCAGAAGCTGTTGGGCTACATTTTGCAGGCCTGCAAGTGCTGTACTTTGCCTGGACTTGAGACCAAAAAAAACTCCAGAGTTGACAGAGATATCAAAGGGTTAATAGATGGGACATCTTACATATCTGAAGTAAATGGGTCCTGGAGATGAAAGGTTGTTGCTGAACCACAAAAAGACTCCGAGATTCTTGGCCTCCGGAGGAGAAGAATTCAATCCAGGGCCAGAGACGAGGCTTGATCCCTCAGAGCTTTTGTGTAATAAAGTTTAATTAAAGTATAAAGGAGACAGAGAAAGTTTCTGACATAGGCATCAGAAGGGGGCAGAAAGAGTGCCCCCCTGTTAGTCTTTAGCTGGATGTTATATAGTCACTAGCAGTTTGTTAAGAAAGAAAGGAGGGTGTACGTGCAGAGCGCGCAGAGCGAGTGGCGCCCACACGCCGTGCGCTGCTCCGCCGGCCGAGCCGGCCGCCCGGAACGCTGAGGCGGCGGTGGCCAAGGCGGCGGGTCTCGCGCGCCGGGCCCGCGTGCCCGAGTGGAGGGCGCCGTCCGCCGCGCAGGCCGCGCTCCCTCAGCCCGCGGCGGTGATGAGGCGCTGAGGCGGCGGCCGGCGCTGCGTGGCGCGACTGAAGGACGAGGACGCGGCCGGGCCGAGGGCGCGGGGCGCCGGTCTCCTGAGGCGAGGGGCGGGGTCGCATGGCGCAGTGACGGCCCCTGCCGCTCCGCCCGCTCCCCGGCCCGAGGCTAGGCCGTCCGGCCGCCACCCCTCCTGCTCGGCCGCCGCCTCCAGCCCCGCCGCCATGGCCAATGACAGCGGAGGGCCCGGTGGGCCGAGCCCGAGCGAGCGAGACCGGCAGTACTGCGAGCTGTGCGGGAAGATGGAGAACCTGCTGCGCTGTAGCCGCTGCCGCAGCTCCTTCTACTGCAGCAAGGAGCATCAGCGCCAGGACTGGAAGAAGCACAAGCTCGTGTGCCAGGTCGGCGAGAAGGTTCCTGCCCCCGGCACGGGCCAACCGTTAAGCCGGGCCGCGCGCCGCCGCCCAGGGCCGCCGAAGCCAGGGAGGCCAGGAAGGCGGCGCCGCGCCGGGACCGAGCCGTCGACGCCGCGGGTCCGCGGGCCTCCGGAGACGCGGCCAAGGCGAAGGCGAAGGCCAAGCCTACGGCTGACCCCGCGGCAGCCGCGTCCCCGCCCCGCGCGGCCCCCCGCAGCCAGGGTTGGGTAGCGGCGGCCGCCGAGGCGGAGTCCGCGAAGGAGGAGCTGCTGGCCCGCCCGTCGCTGTACCAGGAGAGGGCGAACCTGTACCCGCTGAGTAACGCGCCGGGCGAGGGGCTGAGCCACGGCGGCCTGCGGCCCAACGGGCAGACGAAGCCGATGCCGGCACTGAAGCTGGCGCTGGAGTACATCGTGCCCTGCATGAACAAGCACGGCATCTGCGTGGTGGACGACTTCCTGGGCAAGGAGACCGGCCAGCAGATCGGCGACGAGGTGCGCGCCCTGCACGACACGGGCAAGTTCACGGACGGGCAGCTGGTCAGCCAGAAGAGCGACTCGTCCAAGGACATCCGAGGCGATAAGATCACCTGGATCGAGGGCAAGGAGCCTGGCTGCAAAACCATCGGGCTGCTCATGAACAACATGGACGACCTGATCCGCCACTGTAACGGGAAGCTGGGCAACTACAAAATCAATAGCCGGACGAAAGCCATGGTTGCTTGCTCTCCTGGCAATGGAACAGGTTACGTACGTCATGTCGATAATCCAAATGGAGATGGAAGATGTGTGACATGTATATATTATCTTAATAAAGACTGGGATGCCAAGGTAAGTGGAGGTATACTTCGAATTTTTCCAGAAGGCAAAGCCCAGTTTGCTGACATTGAACCCAAATTTGATAGACTGCTGTTTTTCTGGTCTGACCGTCGCAACCCTCATGAAGTACAACCAGCATATGCTACAAGGTACGCAATAACTGGTATTTTGATGCAGATGAGAGAGCGCGAGCTAAAGTAAAATATCTAACAGGTGAAAAAGGTGTGAGGGTTGAACTCAATAAACCTTCTGATTCGATCAGTAAAGACGTCTTATAGAGCCTTTCATCCAGCAATACCCCACTTCACCTACAATACTTATTGATGCTACTTGTTAACTTGTGAATACAAATAAATGGGATAAAGAAAAATAGACAGCCAGTTGGCAGTTTAAGGAAACAGAAACAACTTTTTTGTGTTGCGTCAAAACAGAGGTTTTGACTGTGTGGCTCTGTACTGCATGATCGACTCCAAACCTGTGATGGGAGGAATGTAAGTTATCAACTGAAAGTGGTGTTTACATCTGGACATGAAATAAGTGCCCTAGGCAGAATTGTTTTCATTCTTATATTTTGCCAGATCTGTCATCTAGCTGAATTCATTTCATCTCTCCCTTTTTTATATAGTCAAGTTTGAATTTGAAATAATTTTTGTATACTCAGGTACAATTTATCAAAACTGAATTGAGAAAACATTACAGTATTATTTCCCAAAATAGTATCAATCTATTTTTGTAAACCTCTTCGTACTATTAAATTTTGCCCTGAAAAGCCTCTTAAAAAAAAAAAAAAAAAGAAAAGAAAGAAAGGAATGTCTTAAAATTCAGAATGGCACCAGGCCCCTCATCCATAAGATGTATTTTGGGATAATCTTGGCACCGGAAGAGTCATCCCAGGCCATAAAATGATTGACTTGAATCCTGTAGACAGGCAGATTACCATACAAATAGTTTCGTTTACATAGATTAGGGGAACAATGTCTGAATATAGCATAATGGTTTGTCAAGTAGGTTCTGAACCATTAGGCAGAATGGACTTCAAGACAGAGTTTGGGGTAAAGGCATAGCACATTAACATAGCTTAAGACAAACATTTCCATAAGAAGAGTGCATTGGTTAACTCAAGGTTTGAGAATAGTTAACTTCAGGTGGAACCAGGTGTCATTATGGCAACACAGTAGTTTAAGAGAAATCTCCTTTTAAATTTGTATAGAAAAGGGGGGAAAAAAAAAAGCATCATTCCTGCCGCTTAAGAGAGAGATAAAAATGTCTGACACTTGAAGCCTATTTCCTCTGTTTGGAGACCCCTGGCCTTTCTGCCTGTTACCCTCTCAGAGAGATACCCACTGTGGATAGCAGGGGACAGGCAGAAGACAGCAGCTATAGTTTTCTTTACTCTGAGGGGATAAGGAGTCTACCAGTTACAGTGGGAATGAACAGCAGATTGGCCCATTGATTACCATGGAAACCAGAAAAGGGCCACATCTCTCTTAGCCCCTCAGGCTAAATGCTCTCATGCGTCAGAGGTCTTTTCTTTGTTAATTTAACAGCAAACAGTCATCTTGAAATGGCCAGAAAACACAAAGGAAATAACAAGAGAGGGGTGTTAACACCCTGTATATATCCATGCATACTCAGTCACTTAGTTATGACCCCACTGTTTGTGACTCCATGGACTATATCCCACCAGGCTCCTCTGTCCATGCTATTTTCCAGGCAAGAATATTGAACTGGATTGTCATTTCCTCCTCCAAAGTATCTTCCCAACCCAGAGATTGAACCCACGTCTCCTGCATTGGCAGGCAAATTCTTTACCACTAAGCCACCTGGGAAACACCTTCACTTGTACCAAAGTTCCTGTTCTGCCGTCATCTGTCAGAATCGGCAGGACTCGTGGTGATGATCTGAAGATTCATTCAGTCTTTCCTGGTGACTCAGACAATAAAGAATTCACCTGCAATCCAGAAGACCTGGGTTAGAACCCTGAGTCAGGAGGATCCCCTGAAGAAGGAAGTGACTAACCACTCCAGTACTCTTGCCTGGAGAATTCCATGACAGACGGCCCTAGCAGGCTAGTCCCTGGGCTCACAAAGTGCTGAAATCGACTGCATGAGTTATCCGCACACATATATAAACATATATAGTGGCTTTTGTGTATTATAGTTGGTAGGCACTAGCGAGTTGTGACTGCTATAATTTACTTAAAGGCATGTTATACATGTGTCAAAACTCTTGTGATTTCAGGATGGTTAGCATGAAGGTGAGAGCTCTAGTGGACATGTAGAAGTGAGAGGTTGAGAATTGACTTTTTCAGCATCTCTATCTTTAGGTTTGCAACTGATATCAGTGACTTACTGAATGACTGTGACTGCACAGAGCACAGATGACTGCCATCTGCTATCCACAGTGGGGTGTCTCTTCAGGACCTTGGGAAAAAGGTCAAGGTGATGCCGTGAGATCCAGCAGGCCTCAACTGGAGGATATGTGGGTGGGTTGCTCATTCTAACCACCTTTTTGCTCATGGAGTGCACTGTGGAGGGCATTTGGTGCAGTGATGAGAAAGGGGAGACAGGTAGCTAACAAGATTCCGTTGGGATCTGATGGGAGAGGGTTCTGGAAGTTAAACCCTCTGTTAACCCCAGAGTTAAACTCTCTGTTTGGTGGCTAAGAAAAGTGAACATGAAATTAAGAAGGAAATGTGTATAGAATTCTGACTTATTCTTTACATATGAAATGATATGATAGAGAAATTGTGTCCTGGACTTGCATTGTGCTCTATTTCTAATCAGCTTTTGTTGCTTTACTCTTCAAAAATCATTTTTCCTATAAGAGCTGCTCGTTTCTGCTTTTTTACTAATATGGAAACCTGGTCTCTGGTCAGCACATCTCGGGTATTGTGCACTGCAGGCTGTTTTCTGTTGCATGTTGAACTATGAGGACCATATCCTAGTGGGCACAAAACTCTCATTGTCAGTTGACACTGGAGACCACGTCCTTGCAGTGCCTGTGAGGTGGTGGGTGCGATGTGAACTCTCTCCTCCTGCACTTTCAGGACTTGTGACTTCCCCTCATGTTTGTCCTCACTGTTAATTCCTCGTGTAAAGGGCGCTGCCGGGGGTGGATGAGTCACAGCACACAGGCTCTGGGGTCCCTGCCCGGGCCCGGTCTCCTGGGGCTCTTCACAGCCTCTGCAGCAGCCAAGGCTGATGTGCTGAAGGTGCTTCGGGGTGAGAGGTCCATGTCCTGCTGCTCCTGGAGACCCTCCACATCTGCAGATTCTAGAGTCTGTGAAGGGCCCACGGGGCTTCCTCACACACTTGCTTTCACAGCCCTGCTGACCTGGTCTCCTAGGATTGGGCATTCCCAGGGCAGCAGGTCCTGGGGTCACTGCTACTCTCAGAACCCACTGCTGCATCCAGACAGTCTTGCCCCTTCTCCCCAACCCAGGCCTGCCCCGTCCTCTCTCCTTTCCTTACACCTTCCCAAGTCTCATCCCTCCCAATTTTCCAAGTCTCAGTGCAAACCCGGCAGCTACCACATGTTTATGGAGGACCCTTGTCACATTATTCTGGCTAAATGAAATTGGAAGTGTTTGCCTCTATCCTTTCTAAGGGTCTGTGAAACTTGAGGTGTTGCTGTGAGCATTAAGCATCTCCCAGGTAACTCAGGCCACCCCAGGCAACGGGAGAGTCCTGTTATGTGGAATTTTTGTCCTTCCCTCCCCCAGGGCTCAACACACTCTCAAGTCCATGCCAGCTCCTCCCTTGGAGAAATGTATTGGTTAATTGAGTAATGGACTGATTGGAGACAGTGGCCATACACCGATGTTCCTCCTTCTAATGTGTCCACATTGCAAACTCTAGGGTTGCTAGAGGTTGAAGGAGGAAGTAAAGTAACAGTGACTAGAGGAGAGAAATAAGGAAGCAATTAGAGAAGAAGCAGCGGGAGAAGGAGGCAAGGAAGGCTGTGGGCAGAGATGCATGGAGACAGTGACCACCTGGAGGAGGAACAGATTGGCACAGCCTCATTCTTGCTCACACATAGGCAAGTTGAGGGTGGCAACAGGATGTTGGAGGTCAAAGGTCCACTTTTTCACTGAAGAGGTGAAACACCAAGGCCCTGGGAGTTCCCTGGAGACAAGGGCACCACAGTCCCCTGGTCACATCCTGACTCTAAATCTCCCCTTTGCTTTCCCACAGCCATTCCACAGGAGTTCTGCCTGGCAACACCAGAAAACTGAATGGAAGATAATGAAGAATTGGAGCAGAAGAGCAAGAATATGGAAGTCATTTACTGTCAGGGGACGTTCAACTTTACAGAATCCAGTAAGTTGCATTTTTTTTCCTTTGTGTGCCATTTCTCAAGGATTCTCTGTTCCTTATCAGTTCCTATTAGGGGAACGAGTGGAGCTGCACACAGTTCTCATCACTGAGATCACAGGAAGGGGTACCTGTTTGGATTCCTTCCAGTAACTCCCTTCAGTGACTCTTTTCAACGTCAGCGGACTTAAATGTATTAGATTATCCATTTTGTTGTAACTGATGGAATTTCATTCTTTGTAATGGCTAAGTAAACATTTTACTAAAGATATATAAGCCTGTATTTCTGCTAATAAAATACCCTTGCTCCACTCAAGACCTGGGTCCCCTGTGGCCTTCTTTCTGTCTTCATTCTCGGCAGAGCGTGGAAACCTACCGAGCTCACTTTCTTGCCCGGGCTTTCAAGACCTCCTTGAGAGGATGCCCTGTGCTTTCATGAGTGGTACAAGTCCTGTGAACGTTGGTATTCCATGTAACCCGCGAGATACTGCTCTCTCTCTCTCTCTCTCTCTTTTCATCGATTCCAGCCCACCAGGTTCTGGTCTGTATTAATGAGTGACCATTTATTTCTTCTTTCATATCTTTTAATTTTTTTTCTCTTTTTCTGATCCATAGATTCTTCCTTGTAACCCTTTCCCATCTACTCTTTCCATCTTTTAATGATTACCATTCAGGAGGACCAGTTCTCTTATAGGC